TCTCTATCTCTCTCTCTCTCTCTCTCTGTCTCTCTCTCTTCCTCCCTCTTTCTCCATCATTCTCTCCCCCTTTCTATTTTCCACCTTTCTCGTCTCCTCTCTCCAGTTTCTTTTCTCTCACTAGTTCTCTTCATGTCTGTTTTACTCCCCCAAAGTAAATTCTCACGACTTCCTCAGTTTTATCCCATTTCTTATTATTACAGTGTGCCTCCCACAGAAGCGCTAGAGTTTTTCTTTCAGATTTCTTCCTCTCTTTCAACTACCCAACACTTTTCTTCAAGATCAAACATCTGAGAGCTCAAAACAGGAAGCAGGACTTCTTCCTCCGCCTCTGGGACAAAACGACAGAGGGAAGCGTAAACTGGATATCTGGGTGGAGGGCTATAAAGATGCGCATAAAATCAGAAAGGTTTACCAGACGAACCGTCGGCAGACCGTTTCCTAAAAGCCCTTTCTAATTTTCTCTTTCCTACCTTGTTTATGTCGACGCGATGAAAACAGTTCCATTAAGGGAAAGATCATACAACAGTGAGGTTATTACGGGAGAACTGATATCAAACACATGTGCTCTTTGTAGGAAGTTGTGCCATACCTAGTAATAATTATTAATAGCTTGGGAAAACCTGAGAAAAAAATGTATTTTTTACGGCAAACGTGAAACAAAAATGCCCGAGCTGTCATTACTGTCTTAACTTAGAAAGAATCCAGGAAATGAGTGTAGATTTATTTGCCCTGTAAAGCTAGTAACGTTTGTACTATTGCACTGGACAGACTAGGAAGACGCAATAGGTAAAAAGCAATCTGGCACTGCAGAACGGGTAGCCCTGACTATTGAAACTGATTTGTTACTGACAGCTTGCTTACGTCACATGCAGTGAGAAATAAAGCAGGAGACGCAGTTTTAATGACCTCTCAAAAACGTTCTTGTATTTAGAAAGACACGGAATTATCAGTTTGGTAAACAAAAGTGTAAGAAATTATTTTAGGATTGCACGGATTTAACAGCCGCTATCAACACTATAACGTCATTTAAGAGGTGAGATCTCCGAATTCAAGGTCCAACTCGAACAAAACCAAACTAAGTTAGAGTAGACCCTTGAAGACATCTTCAAACAACCGTGTTTCTAGAATGCTTTGCTAAAAACGAACTAATGCCATTAGCCTGTAGTCGAGAACTGTTGCAAATGAGCTACCGGCACCCTAAACCATTAAGGAAATGTCTTCTACAGAAAGGAACCTTTTTCCTCTCACTCCTTCTTCAACATCTCCCACAGTAAAAGGGACATAAATTCATCTTTTCGGAAACACAGTCAAGTTGGAAGCTTTTCCTCACAGTTACGCCAATTTACGTAGTTATATACTACGAATAACAACACGGTTAATGTTAATTTCGGAGTGGACCAATTCAGTAGATAAAAATGTATTTAGAAAGCCGTTCACCATATGAAAGACTCGACTTCCTTCAAAGGAATCGTTGAAGCCCTGAAACAAGAACAAACTTACAGTAATTGAGACGTTTGTGGTATTTCGATTTTATGATTTTTCTCAGCAATTGGATCATGTCCTCTAGATTCTATGTGTT